CCTCCTTTTTCTCTCTCTCCCCTCCCAACATTCTCTCTCTCACCCACTCTGTTTCCCCCCTCTGTTTCTCTGCCCTTCTTCCTTCTCAACTATCCTTCCTCCCATTCACTCTCTTTCAATCTCTGTCTTTCTACCCACCTTCCTTCCTTCCTTCCTTCTTTCCTTCCTTCCTAGCTTTCTCCCTTCCTTTCTTTCCAAAATAATACCATTAACCCCACTCTGTCTCCCCCCCTTTTCTCTCTTTCCCCCCTCTCTAACTCTGTCTCTCTCTCTCTACCTCCTCTTCTCCATTCCTCCCTTCCACTCGCCCTTCCTTCCTATCTAGGGCCCGTCGTCTACCGCCACGACGGGCTTTCCTTACTAGTTATTCATACAATGTATCAAAAGGGAAAAGAAATCAAATGATATGACCAACAATGGCATAAGTAGACTTCGGCAATATGACCATAAATAGAATGAATGGAATGATGTCTTCTAGCAAAAGTCTTCTTCAGACCCAGAAAAAAATCTTCTCTTCCCCCCCCCCCATTTCCTTATTTTTACCAAACACATGAGTTGAAACACTGTGATGAGATCACCAGAAAATACATTTTTGAGTATTCAACTCTACACCACCTCTCAATCCATTCAAGTTCTGAGCTGGGTTTGGTAAAAATATAGAAATGCATTATTTATATTTATTTATATATTGGGTTTCTAAAATTTTGATACGCTGCATGAATAGTGAGATTCTGGCTGTATAGTGATTTTTTCCCCTTTCTGTTGGTTCATTTTTCATTCAAATAACATTTTTTTCATGTTGTGGCTGTTGATTGGTTTTATTTTGTATTCCTTTGTACTTGGGTACTTCTTTTCGTTATTTCCGAAAGGTAAACCCCCCCCCCCCTTTAAAGTAAAGCTAATGCTAGAGGTTCGATGAGAGGTGCTCGAGCCTTAACCTACATTCTGGTTTATGTGTGAAATGGGTCTCAGCGATATTGTTGTGGTATAGGGCTGTTGGAGGCCGACAAGGTCAGAATTCCAATCCCCTCCATCTAATGGCTCAACTCAAGGAACAGGTAAAAGCTAAAGATAACTTTAAACAAATATGTTGAGATTGTTCATAAGCTGAGGCTGTATTTGGGAAATCTTTTAAAATAGTTCACAGGACCCAGGGGGTTGCATGATTGTTCAGTCAATTAGCTGGATGGACGGCTGCCAAGTCACTTGGGTGGTGGTTTGGCTGGTTGGAATAGCAGCTGTTCTTCTAGCAAGGTGTCCTGCTGATGGGTGGCCATTATAGCTGAACTGCCTTCTGAGACAGCCCCTAAGAAGAAAGAAGGATGGTAGCTGCCACTGTCCTTTCATTTTTCACCTCTGGTCTCAAAGGCCATCCCGTTCATTCATTTTGCCTGCCCTTTGAAGCCTCAGGCACATCTTCTACAGAGCAAGAACAACTGAAGCAGGGGTTCATTATTCTTTGATCAGGCAAACTCCATCATAAGCTTGGTGATGCATCAGGGAATCCCAAGCACAGCTCTATCTACCCAGATTCTGCATCCATTCCCACTTATTGCTCACCTTCCAGGCTGGTCCTGGTGTGGGTCCTGTTCACAACATCTAAAGCACATATATGCATGCTTGCACTGAAACCAATGACCCACATACTACAAAAACACATACTCCACTGACAATTTGGCTCAGCAAACGCAATCTTGTTCCCTCTTGAAATTCCAGAAGAAGAACGTGTTCCATTGCCTTCAACAAGGGTTTTGAGACAGTAACACCCCTCCCCATATCAAACACTCATTTTTATATAAAAACTTTTTTCAGACGTATAACTTTTCCAGCATTTTGGAAATAAAATATAATCTAATGCAGGCTAAAAATGCTACATCTGCATCCTGATGCAAAAAGAAAAAGGTACCTCAGTAGGTTTGGTGCCCAGACAATTGCTAAGTTCTTGGTGTGCATATTTGTGATGGCGCAGTAATCAGCAAGATGAGCCAAGTGCCTCATTAGGAACTCCAGCGTCCTAGAAAATGAGATACAGAGTGCACTGTTAGTGGGGGAAAGCAAGCACTTCACAACGGGTAACATTTATTACTCTGCAATACACAAAACAGGAACAAATAAATTAATATAAATTAGTTTAGGAGCAGGAAGGAAGCACTTCAGGGATGTTTCCAAACCAATATCAGCTTTTTGAAAAATAATTTACATCTAAACTTTCTGATCAGACCACCAATGAAGGCAGCAACACATGGTCTTATTCAGGGCTATTTTGGGGCAGGAACGCACAGGAACGGAGTTCCGGCTGGCTCCTGAGCTGGCCATGCCCAGCAGGAACTCATTAGCATAATAGGCCACAGCTAACAGGAGAAACTCATTAGGATTGGCCTAACATGCAAAGAAGTTCCTGCTACAAAAAAAGCCCAGGGTTTTGACAGCAACGTAAACAGAATAAGAAGCAAAAGGTGGGTGTGGCTGGATGACCACACTTCTGGCAACATGGGGGTGTGGCCTAATATGCTAATGAGATGTGCTGTCAGGGGTGTGGCCTAATATGCTAATGAGTTTCTGCTGTTGGGTGTGGCCTGTTATGCTAATGAGTTCCTGCTGGGCTTTTTCTACAAAAAGAGCCCTGGCATTAAAGCACTAGAATCCAACAGCAAGCACGCACAATGCAAGGTTGACCAATACACTGTGATATAGCTCTAACAAACAGGCTATCACACATCTAGATTTCTGGCCACTACTTGACCATGTTACAAGGTACATGGGTTGCATTCAGACATCATAATAGACCATGGTTTGTTTAAATTATGGTTTCTGTGTAAACTCAAACTTGATGTAGCAGATCTAGGTTGATCTGCTTCTTGCCTTCTCACTGCCTTCCAGTAGGGAGAAAATGCTCTATACATGGCTGTCTATATGGCCAGGTGGCTACAAAGCATGGTTACGCTCAGTGAGATGGACGTCATGACAAATCACAATTAGTACAGAGTTCCACCAGCACTGTTTCATAAATCCTAGCCTGTGTCCCTCAAACAAAATGTGAACACGTGATCCCAACTTCTGCAACCTTTCACATGTCCACTTCACACAACCTGCATTAACTAGGTAATTAATGAGCTGAAGTACACTACATGGTAGCAGCCTGGAGAGCACATACTAGCCCAAGCTTGAAGAGCTTGGAAGTTAAGCAGGTTGGTCTATTATTATTATTATTATTATTATTATTATTATTATTATTATTATTATTATTATTATTATTATTATTATTATTATTATTATTATTATTATTATTATTATTATTATTATTATTATTATTATATTTATAGACTGCCCTCCCCTGAAGGGCTCAGGGTGATGTAAAAAGGTAAAGGTTCCCTTGCTCGAAAGCCAGTCGAGTCTGACTCTAGGGTTGCGGTGCTCATCTCCGTTTCAAAGCCGAAGAGCCAGCGCTGTCCGAAGGCGTTTCCGTGGTCATGTGGCCGGCATGACTAAACACCAAGGTGCATGCACACTTGGGTCTCAAACTGCTGAACTACCGACCTTCCACAGCCTGCAGTTCAGCGTCTTAACCACTTGAGCCACCGCAGCTCCACCAGGGCGATGTACATCATGATAAAAAACATATAGTTGTCAGAATACATGGCCAATACGTGGATGGGAGATTACTAAGGAAGACCAGGGTTGCTATGCGGAGGCAGGAAAGGTGCAAAACACCTCTGCTCATCTCTTGTCATGAAAACTCCATGGGGTCAGTGTAACTTGACACGCTTAATTGTTAAAATCCATGTCAGGTGCAGAATTAGAGGTTATAATAACAGAGTCTGGGATGTTTTTACAGTGCAGAGATCCGGACCTCTGAAAACAACATATTCAGCGATGGAGAGGGGGGATCAATCCCAGCAGCCACCAAGAAAACTAGTAAAGCATTTTTGTTCTACAACAGCCACAAGAGGGAGCCTGTGCAATATACATCTAAGTGTACACTGCAATATCTATTTGTTCACTACGCTAGCACTGACAAAATAATTCTATTTTCAAACTTTCCTGTGCCTGACAAAACCCAAGATCTATCTACTTAAGGTGTGCCATAAAAATGGAAACGCATCATCCTGGGTTTAACCAACTGAAGTAGCTGTGAAATCCAACATTATTTTTAAAAAACCAACAGTGGTCATAGGCAGGTTTTCATTAGAATCTACCAGATGATTCTTTCAAGTGACACAAGGGACCGGTCATCCTTTGAGAAGCCAAGTTACTAAAGATACCTTAGAATAAAACGGATGTAAAACCTCTATTTTGCTCCCTAATTCAGAATTACGTCCAGGGAGGACATGTTTTGGGCTGCAAATCCCTTCTAAAAGGACAGAGCATGGTACGTGGATCCCACTGCATCTTCAGTAGAATTCAGAGCATTAAATCAGAATCCCTCTTCTTATTCCAAGACCTTCATAGCCCAGGTTAGTCTGATCCCATCAGATCTCAGGAGCTAAGCAGGGTTGTCCTTGGTCAGTATTTGGATGGGAGGCTACCATGGAATACCAGGGTTGTGACACCGAGGCAGGTAATGGCAAACGACTTCTGAATGTCTGCTGCCTTGAAAACCCCACCAGGGATCACCATAAATCAGCCGTGACTTGATGACAAAATAAATAAATAAGTAACAGTCCAATAGGACTTCTGTGATGCTCACCAAGGAAACACAGAAGGTGGTGCTGAATGGAAATGGGAAATAATTAAAAAAGATTAAGAGATTATGAATTAACAAATTAAAGATTAAGTAGGAATGTGAAGGCCAGTAATCTGCTAAACAAATATTATATCAGGATATTTTGTGACTGCCATGCCACATTATTGATGTGCAATGGAGCCCATGAACAAGACGACGTTTTGATACCCATCACTACTGATGTGGGCACAACATGTGGTTTGTGTGTGTGGTGGTGGTGTGGGAGACTGCTCATTTTCTGCTATCTGCTTCTTTCCAGATTGGCGTAAGGCAAAGCAATAAGCCTGGCCTCATGAAATGAGCAAAAGCTACATTTAATAAGATACATTTCCAGGTGCCAAAAAAGTAACAAGAAAATCACCAAGACTCTAGGGAGACTCGAATCCACTGTTACCAATATTAGAATCCGCTGTTAGCAATATTAAAATGTCTCATTCATGGGGAAAGGGTAAGACAGCGTGCAGTACAGACACCTAAATCACACCAAATCCTTCTATGACGGCATGTGTTTTGAGATTCCCACCTATTGATTCAGGACACCCACACTTGTTAAAACCAGCCAGCCTTCTATGTCTTCTGACTCATTTTTACCAGCGCTCCCTCCTCTCTGCCCCTTAATGGAGTAGTGCTGAAGCTCTCTGCTCAGCCAGCCTTGCTTCTTCACTGCTAACAATTACGTGCATCTGCCGTCCCAGCTACAGAAAGGCCTATTCATACTTGCATTAACATTTTATACAGTTCACCTTAATTGACAGGATCAAATTTGCCGGATGTTGCCTAAAAGGTAAGACAAGGGCCGTACGTTTGCTGCAATTCCTTTCCATTTCACACCCTGGATTTTGCTATTTTACGCAGTGTTCTTCTCCCTGGTCCTCATTAATACACTTCCCAGGACTCATGAATTCCCTTTTTCTTAACACAATGAGACAGTTCTGCTACGATGGGCCCCATTCTTTATCCCCCTTCCCCAGCACTTTTACATAACTTCAGCTAAGATTATGCACAGGGTATGTTGTCTGTCTTGTTACCGATCTAATTAAAATAGAAGTCAACTTTATGCAGCTATAAATCCTTCAGCATGCACTCAACCGTTTAACTTAATACGTGCAGGAATAATGCTGCCTCAGTAAGCCATTTTAGGGGCTAAGAAATTGGAAAGCAAACAGAAATGTCAACCTTTCTATTAAGAACGGTTGTATAATTGTGTACCAGATGTGCAGAGCACTTCAGAGAGGAAGACATCAACTCAGATCCCCCTGCCCAACATGACGTGAATTGAGATTGGCACTAAGAGCCTTAGGCTGCGATCACACAGACTAAATAATCCACTTTCAATCCACTTTCCAACTGGATTTTGCCAGTTCACACAGTAAAATCCAGTTGGAAAGTGGATTGAAAGTGGATTATTTAGTTTGTGTGATCTCAGCGTTTGTTTAACTCTATGTCCCAGGACAGGGAGAGGTGTGCTGCCACATCTGCAAGGGAAAAGAACATTGTCTTACACCATTAAAGTAACCCAGGGCAATGAAATAAGACCTGGGACAAGAAGTTCACGTCAAGAAAACAAAAGTCAATGTGTTTTATAAATATTTATTGAGAAACAATATATACTCCATTTCTAGAGGGTAAGAGCTGGCACTCTGATGATTCAGTTGTTCACTTTCTTCTGTTCAACTCTAATTGCGAAATAATGGAGGCTGTTGCAAAATTTTTATATTATGCAATCAGAAGACAAGGCTTGAATAGCCAAGTGTAAGTGACTGATGCACCTTAGTATTTCCATGTATTTCCATGACGTTTTGTGCTTTCATGCCAATAAAGATTTCATGTGTGTGAGAAACAATATAAATAAAAATGCAATTCCAAAAAAGCTAGTACGTTCTGTATCCTAACCTGTAGTGGGGTGGTGGCAATTGTTGGATGACATCATGGATTTTAACTAACCGCCCTTCATCTGCAGCAGCAGACACAGCATCCTAGAAGAAAACAAGAACTTTGTTAAACAATTTGACTAACTTCATGTATTCACAAAACATCTTTAAGACTAAGCAACATCTTGATGACTAGCCAAGTTCATTCCAGCATAAGGCTGCCCAGGTGCAACTGAAGAAGTGAGGTCTGACTTCCAAAAGCTTGTGTTGGAATAAACTTGCTTACTCTTAAAGACATTGCTTGATTTCTGTTTTACTTCGCTGCAGGAGAAGAAACCTGCTACCCTTTTGAAATCATCAGGATGCATTTTCTGCAGGATGTCACATGTCTGGATGGCTCCCTCTTGTCCTGTTGACAGTCAGTATAGAGGTTATTGCTCAATTATGCTGAGCAAGAACAAACACTTCCCCGCATTTAATTTAGCAAGCACTGTGCTGCAAAGTACAGATGTACCCGGAGTCAAATGCAAGGACATTATTTATTATATTTATGACCCACATTTCCTCCAAGGAGCTTAGGGCAGCATATGTGGGGTTTTTCCCCTGACAACAAGGCTGCAGAGCATTGCTGACCTGTCCAAATGCATGGGTGGGGTGGATTTGATCCCAAGTCCCAGTCCACTTAGTAACACCATAATGGCATGCTTCTTTTGCAGAATTCTAACCTAAACAGAGGATATGCAAGTTGAAAGGATTCTCAGGTATCATATGAAACTCCAGATAGCCTTAAAGACTTCCTTCCCTCCTCTTGTTCCCAGGGCTACAGCAACTGCAGAGAGCCATCTCATGTGGTACACCAGGAGAACAACAAATGGATTCTCATAAGAACGTAGTGCAAAGATATACGTGGACAGCATGCCAAAACCTTCACACATGATTTTAATCATGAACACTTATTTAAAAACAACGACAGGAGAAACCATTCTGGAACCTGACTCATATTCACTCTGAAGTATCCTATACAGTAAAAAATACAAATCCCGTCTTGCACTTACTGAGAATTTCTCATACAGCTGATAGGTGAGCAGGGGATTTGGGAGTTCCCGAAAATACAGCTTGCACAGTGAACCCACGCAATGTATATCTTGAATGTATACATCTTTCGTCAAGTCAGGGATTTGCTCCGAGTCAAACTCATGCCTGGAGACAAGAAAGGAAAATGGAAGAGGTGCAAGGAGGGGGAAAACAGGATAATATACCATCAAAAGCAAACAAAAGCTTCGTTTACAGGAAGAAATAAAGGCCTCAAACCCCAAGCCGCAAGAATCTTCACTTTCAGAAGTTCACATTTTTCTAAGATGAAGTGGCTTCTTGGGAGGTGGTTTTAGTACTTTTAAAAACTGACTGGGTTGCTAAAAGGGGGGAGAGGGAACCCACAACCAGATTCCATCTAATGCAGAAGAGACTGTTCCAGAAATGATTTCAGGATATATATTCCATGCGTCCTCAGCCAAAGCACAAGCAATTCCAGTGATTGCAAGTGACAGATGCCTTCCTGGATGTAGTCCCCCCCCCCACCCCATGTGTCAAAATGAAAACTATGTATCAGACTGATGACCTAGAAATTACAATAATGAACACAACGAAGCATCTAAGGACAACTGCAGTCTCAAACACCCCAAGGATTGTGCACAGTCACTCAATAACTGGGCACGCTTCAGAAAAATTCATGTGCACTGTCCTCTGTCTTCCAGAGAGAAGGGGGGAGGGGCAGTCAATGTACCAAGATCCATAGAAAAGAAAGACTAGTCCTGGCAAGGCTTGTTTCTTACTACAAAACATGCTTGGAAATTGCTGTTTCAAATTAGCCATGCTGAGACCAATAGGAACGAATATGGTGAGTCAGACAACTGGGATCACAGACATAAGCCACAATCCAAATGGCAAATCACTTACTAGCCCATACATAAGAATGCTCTGTATTCTGAAATAGTGGATAATGGCTATAGAGCAATAAAAACTGCTTTCTATTCCTAACCAATGATATTTCTTGGATTGTAGGAAATATGGGAGGTTATTCAGGTTTATAGGCTATGCTGTTCTTCAAAAAATCAACTGCTTTAGGAATTAGTTGGAAATTCATCAATATGTGTACTCCTTAGAGGTGAAAGAAAGACGTTGCAACTACAGGAATGAAGCTGGAACGTTCAGCACCTAAGAAATATAACACAAAACACCCATTCCTGAAATATCCATCAAAGATCCTCTTGTCATTATATGGACACCTACAGCGGAAAAGGGGATTCTCTCCTGCTGCTTCTAGGCTCAGTAGGGAACCTCCTTCCAACCATGATCCTCGATAGTCAGAACTTAGCTGGTTTCCAGAAGGCACTGAAAGCTCATTAGTTCATGCAGGCCTTCATCAGTTAACTGTGGATGTGGGCTGAACAACAGATCTGAATATAGACTGAATTTGTTTGCAATGGGATTTCAACAAGATATGTGCTGTTCTGTTTTATTATGCACGATTGCTTATTGTGCTGCTGATAATTATATCGCATTTCTGAGAATGTTTTTTTTTTGGGGGGGGGGAGAAGTGGTCAGAAAATCCCCGAACAACTTAAATCAATCAATCAATAAATAAAACAAGCATACCGTAGCTTCTGGATATTGGAAGCGATCCCAGACAGACGGTATATTCCATCCACAATGCCATGTTTCTCGATGAATTCAGTGCAACTCTTGAGGACCTGGGGGACTTAAAGGGAAAGAAACAGTTGGCCATCAGATGGGAGTCTTGCAAGATCCTCTTGTGGTAGGCACACAGAGGCAATCTGAGAGATAAAGAGAGCTCTTTAGGTATAGCTGTAAATGAAGGTCCCTAGTAAAGAGGAAACCAGGATTGAAACTAAGCCATCGGTGGCCTCAGATAATTAAACATCAGGGCTGTGTCCCATGTGGAACTGCCTGCTTTTAGCAACCAGCCTTGGGCTGAAGCAAATATTATCTACCGTAAGACACAACTAAGTGTGACATTAACTTCACTGCATGGACAAACCATCAACTTTTATTTCCATCAGTGGTCAGCTGCTGCAACGGCTAAATCTGCTGCAGCATTATCTGGTCTACCCCCATTCCTCTTATGTCTAGTGAAACAACAAAGGAAGTAAAACCTTGTGACCAAGTTCACAGTTGACCAGCAACTTTTCCTACTTCATCACCCCTGCACTTCCCCTTTCTTTGTCCATTTCTTTTGTGCAGGAGTAACCTAACCCCAAACTTGCATGCGATTACATGCACAAACTTTCAAATAACTGAGGAACTGCTCCATCTGCCATTGTCTGAATTCCCAGTACTTGAGAGTCAGTGACAGCAGAGCTGGCTGGCTAAATTAAGCTAATACAGTCTTGGGCCACTGCCACATAGCCACCCTGTGTTAACTGGGAATACAAGAACCGGTGGGGCACATGCAGCAGTTGTGGTGTTTCCCATCTTGTCTCCCTATAACTCTTCCATCCTACCTATCATTCCAGTGCTGGTGGTGCAGAAGCTCACTCTAGCAAGCTAGGGTGCAGGACATTAGTGGAGGTGACATGTGGGCGGGCCTGGTGACTGATACCATCATTACTAGCCAGAAACAGCAATCACGGACTGGCTTCAGGAGGCAATGAGTTCATTTCAATCTCACTTGCTGTGTGCACACAACTGTCTTGTGCCCTCTTTGTCCTGAGTGTTAATCTCTCTATCTGCTATTTGGAGGTTAATAGAACTTGAGCACTCTCTTGCGGATTCACTAGCCTGCTTGTGGATGTCGGCTCTTATTATCTATGAAAAAGAAAATCTTTTTGATATCTTTGAGTTCTCTATCATGATGACTCACTGACTAACCTTGGCCACTGTTCCCCACGTGTAAAACAGGCATTTCTTTTTCTGAGTGCTTATTACTTAACAACATGCTATAGACAAGTGCATCACACATGGGAGTTGATGTGTATGGTGAAGCTGGACTCATTTACTTATCTGCCCTACATGTGCTTTTACTTCTTGTGTTGTCTGAACTGTACTAGGCTGATCTGTGGCAGTACCATATTATGCATGGGACATATTATTTGTCGGCAAGGGACTTGTAAGCACATGCAATAGATGCAGACTTTAACAGCAAAGTTATTTTTGTGAGCTCCACCTCTGAGATTCCTTGACTGGCATTGATCCTTGAACTACTGTTTTCTGATAGTAGGAGGAGGAGGAGGAGGAGGAGGACTGGCATTGATCCTTGAACTACTGTTTTCTGATAGTAGTAGGAGGAGGAGGGGGAGGGGGAGGGGGAGGAGATTGGATTTATACCCCACCCTTCACTCAGAGCGGCTTACAAAACTCCTTTCCCTTCCCCTCCCCACAACAGACACCCTTGTGAGGTAGATGGGGCTGAGAGAGCTCTTTCAAGAACTGCCCTTTCAAGGACAGCTCTTATCAGAACTATGACTTGCCTAAGGTCATCCAGCAGCTGCAAGTTGCATTGGTTACCCTTGTACTCTTCCACCCTAAATTCAGCAAAATAAGAAAGTCCACATGTACAGCTCTAGGAGACAAGGGTGTTTGCAGCTGTATCTGCAAAGTGGGGATGAACTGAAAAACTAGTTGAGTGTGTTCACTTTAACATCCATGCCAAGTTTCCCCCCAAGCTTCTTTCCCCCAAGCAAGCTAGTCAACATTGCTTTCCTGCCCTTCAACACTGGTCATGATGCAGAAGCACATCTGCTTCTCCAGTCGCAGTAAAAACATTAGGATCATTGCTTCTAAGCATGTATTGCTTCCAGTCAAGCACTGCTCCAACTCTTCCCTATTATGTGTTTCTACTCTTGTTTTATATGTCAGCTCTTATACAATTTGCTATTAGAGGGGAGATGGTGCACAGGTCTTGGAGGCAACCAGGTGGATGGAGATAGATGATATTCATCTGCAGCATCTGGTATTACTTGAAAATGGAACTGCCATATATAATATAACGTATATCACAGCACACACCATTGATCGACATACTCTCCATGGACATGGCTAATCCTTTCAAAAACATCTAAACTAGTGGCCATCTCTGCAACCTGTAGCAATAAAATCACAAGTGAATTATGCACGAAGAAAGGCTTCTGTTTGCCAGCTATGATCAATTTAATTGGATGGTGCCTAGTCTTGATATTTTTTGAGACAGACAATTTCTCTGATTATAGATAGAACACACAGGGAACAGGGTACACATTATGCATTCCTTAGCAATGAAACCTTACAAACAGAAGTCAAAATTATGACTGCAGATTTCATCATGTTTTAATTCTACACCACAACTCTGCTCTTCACCCTGCTCCCAAAGCATATGTCCTTTACAATTTCTCCATCCTGTCTCAGACATTAAGATCCTCCAAGTTGAATAACTGACTGCAGTAAGACATGGCATATAACAGAAAGAAGAGGAGGAGGAGATTGGATTTATACCACGCCCTTCACTCGGAGTCTCAGAGCGGCTTACAAACTCCTTTCCCTTCCCCTCCCCATAACAGACACCCTGTGAGGTAGGTGGGGCTGAGAGAGCTCTGAGAGAAACTGCTCTTTCAAGGACAGCTCTGACAGAACTATGGCTTGCCCAAGGTCATCCAGCAGGTGCAAGTGGAGGCGTGGGGAATCAAACCTGGTTCTCCCAGATTAGAGTCGACGCACTTAACCACTACACCAAAGAAAAGGATCACAAAAGTTTCTGCCATGCGTACATCTGAGCTTGCGTGTGGTAGATGTGCTGCTGGGAGTATTTTAAAATGAAGGAGTGGTACGAAGTTGTGTGGCTGATTTTAATGGGTATAACAAATGCACAAAAGCACACACATTTACTTTCCACCACTCTCCTTTAGAGGGAAGCCGGTACCTTGCGCGCGCACACAAAAAAATATTAAGTCACATCACATAAATCCCCAATGGTCCCTGACACTGCCAGGAACACCTGCCTAGGCTGCCTAATTGAGGCACCGTGGCACAGAGAACAAGCTCAGCATGTTTCCATGGCTTTTGCCCCCCCGGGGCTTTCTAGCCTTATAAACAAACAGCACAGGCAAATGCTCTATGTCATAATTAAATTTCAGGGGCACCCTACTGTGACATTTAGCATCACGCCAAAGCAGAAAACAGAATGGGGATGGGGATGCAGCGATTCCAATATGTTCGACTCACTGGCTCATTCACCATGTCAAAAGAATGGGGGGGATCAACAATGAACAGACAATGCACACAACAGCCTCTTTTGCCCTCTGGATATCACTGGGCTACCGTTAATTCTCTAGCCTGTCACACCGGATAAGAACCTTATCATCACTCAACTGTGCCAGAACGTGGCTGACTCTAACATTCCTCCAAGCGACATGGATACGGTTAAAACATCATTTAGACTAAGTAGATTGTAGTGAGCGTCCTGCCTGGGTGGCAACAGGCAATGTGGTTAACAGCACGATAATCCCCCCCCCCCCCCCAGTATATATGGATTCCTTGCATACAAATAGATTGGTTATTTGTCAACCTCACTCTATTTTTTCCTGTTCACCAGTTATTAGTTCTCTCAGTCGCTATGGCGGATTGCCTCTGGCATCATTTGAGTTTTAGGTTTGATGGCTTCTTGCATGATATATCTGGCAAACACTATTGCAACTATATGCATACATGCTGTATAAACTGGACAGAATGGTTGGTCTTTCTTAGGGCCCCTGACTCAGCAACAGCCAGAGGTGTGCTCTGTTAGTCCATTACTCCCCTTCTGCCCCACCTTCTGGCAGTGGCTACCAATGCTCCCTCTAAGCTGTGGAGTCTTGTGAGCAAAAATTCTACTTTGTGAGCTACTGGTACTAAAGTTGTGAGCGAGTGATTTGGCTACTGCATAAATTAGTTTGCTCTGGAGCCATCCTTCCTGAGCTAGAAGAAAAATGTGCGAGCTGGAGGCTAAAAAACTGTGAGTTCGCTCACACTAACTCAGCTTAGAGGGAACACTGGTGGCTACTTACTGGTGGAACGTGTGACCCTGTACAGGGAGCATGAGCTGTTGGATCCAAGTGGCAGGTGTGTGAGCAAGCAGGAAAGTTAGGGTGTAAGTTCAGTTTGCTCGTGTTTGGGGATTTCTTTTGCTTTTCCTTGCTAGGACCCACTTTTTAACCAATTAGGAGAAGAAGAAGGGAAGAAGAGAGAAGAGACTGGATTTATACCCTGCCCTTCACTTGGAGTCTTAGAGCAGCTTACAACCTCCTTTCCCTTCCCCTCCCCACAACAGACACCTTGTGAGGTAGGTGGGGCTGAGAGAGCTCTTTCAAGAACTGCTCTTTCAATAACAGCTCTGACAGAACTATTGCCCAAGGTCATCCAGCAGCTGCAGCCTGCAAGTGGAGGAATGGGGACTCAAACACGGTTCTCCCAGATTAGAGTCCGCACACTTAACCACTGTACCAAACTCATGCTTAGAGCACCATTTTAAGTACAGACAAGGCTTCCATCTGATCACATGGCCAACCCAACAAAATTGACCACCAATAGTCATACTTTCAAGTCAAGAGATTTGAGACCTTTCCAGAAGTTGTTTGGAATCCTATTGAGCTATTTTATATTATATGTTGACTGCACACAGAAAGCATGGTAGTCTTGCAGACTGGGATGGCAACAGTGTTGCATCCAAGATTTACATGACAAAGCAACAGATATTTATCTTTGTTCTAATTTGCACTCCATGCTCCTTCC